ATGAACCGCTCAGTCCTCAAAAACTTTTTGCTTCACCGTCACAATCAACATCTGATATTGTTGGTAATTATGAAAATTTGTCTTCTTTCGATATATCATTATTTGTAAATAAAAAACTTGACGATAAACAAAAAATTCAAGTTTTACAAAATGTGTGGGTCCCAGATAATAACTGTAATTTTCCTAATCAACAAATTGGCAATCAAAAAAGAAAATTTAATATACTATGGTTAACTAAATACAAATGGTTAACATATTCAAAAATTGAAGATAGTGCTTTTTGTAAATTTTGCGTATTATTTTCACCTTCTGAGGCTGGTTATTGTTCAAACCAATCACTTCATACATTTGTTAAAAAGGGGTTCAATAATTGGAAAAAAGGCTTAGAAAAATTCGAAAACCACGGAAGTTTAAATTATCATAAAGAAGCTAATTTAAAAGCTGACCATTTTATGGATGTCATGTTAGGAAAAACATTATCGGTTGATAAACAAATTGACAAATTTCATCACCAACAGACTTTAGAGAATCAAGAAAAACTTAAACCGATAATAAAAACAATTATTTTGTGTGGACGACAATGTCTACCACTTAGAGCACATCGAGATTACGGAACGTTTAATATAGATCAAGAGCCCGAATGCAACGAAGGTAATTTTCGAGCGTTACTTAGGGCACGAATTGATTCAGGAGACACAAATTTAAAACAACATTTAATGACTTGCGGAAAAAATTCAACGTATATTAGTTGGAATATTCAAAACCAAATAATAGATGCTTGCGATGAATTTATTTTAACAAAACTTGTAACTAAAATTAACAACGCTAAATGTTTTACTATACTCGCTGACGAAACGTCTGATATTTCCTCTATTGAACAATTCGCATTGTGTATAAGATATATTGAATCAACCGATGTAAATAATTTTAAAATAGTTGAAAACTTTTTAAAATTTGTACCAGTAGAATCAACTTCGGGTCAAAATTTAGAAGATGTACTTTTAACAACATTGAATTCATGTGGTATTAATATAAATTATTTACGCGGACAAGGCTACGATGGGGCTGCAGCGATGAGTGGCAAATTTAAAGGTGTCCAAGCGCGTATAATAGAAAAATATCCAACTGCACTCTATGTACATTGTGTTTCACACAGCTTAAATTTGGCTTTATCTAATGCTGTTGATGTAGTACCTATTAGGAATAGTTTTGGTGTTATAGAAAAAGTATACACGTTTTTTAATACACCAAAACGTCAAATTATTTTAAAAAATTAAATTCAACTCTTAGTTCCTGATATTAATAAAACTAAATTTGTTCAACTATGTCCAACTAGATGGGTTGAACGACACGATTCAATAATAGTATTTAATCAACTTTTATTACCTGTAGTGGCGGCGTTAGAAGAAATTCAATCGTGGAACTGTAAAGACTCTTCATCAGGTGCATTTTTACTTTTAAATGGTATTCGTCAATCTACATTTATTATTTCATTACTTTGTTCAGAAAAATTATTAGCTTATACTTTACCAATAAGTAAAATACTTCAAACGACAGATATAGATCTATCAACTGCAGTTAACCAAGTTGAAAGTGTAGTGTCTATTCTCCGACGACTTAGAAGTAATGCCGACAATGAATTTAAACAATTATTTTTAGAAGCACAAGAAGTTGCCTCTAATTTAGACTTGACTATGTCTATTCCTAGACTAACAAAACACCAAACTAAGCGATGTAATACACCATCTGAAAATATTGAAGAATACTATAGACGTTCAATTTTTATTCCATGGGTCGATTCATTTCTTAA